TCAGCCAAGGAATGCTTGTTCTGCCACCCCATGCCCGAATCCACGTGCACAAGAAAAACTGCACTGCAAGAATTCCCTGGTCCTTGACTCCTCAGCAGGTGCTCCAGGTGATACAGTCACCCCAGCAGAAATATTTTTGGTGAGTCTTTACTGCACGAGTGATTTCAGCATTTCTCTGAGCTCATCCCTAGCTGATGAGTGTACCAACTCGATAAAATTATGGAAAGCAGACCCTCAGGTAACCAAGGCTGAATTAGAAACTGTGTGATATTAACAGCTATTTTTCTACAACCAGACTCACAAAAAAAATAATAAATATATATATGTATATATATATATACACACACATATATACATACTCCCACAAAATCAGCCATAGCTTAGCTGCCATAGGAAGCTCAGATCACAACACACACCTAGGAAAAGTGGTCCTTCTTCCCATTTCACATAGGAAAATGCTTTCTAACATCCAAAGGATGCTTTATATCCAGGAACAGCAAATTTCCTGCATGCCCTGGGCAGCTGGGCTATGGCTGCTTTGCAACAGTCACATTATGTCTTCAGCTGGCACCTATTCAACCAAGTCTCCTGGTACAAGAGGGGCACAGGGAAGAAAACAGTGCTAGAGGAAGCAGTCCAGCTCACAGTCCTTTCAGGATCCAACAAGTTCAAAAGTTACCTTAGTATCATTCAACCCTATTAACTACTCAAGTAATTTACAACCAAACTCAGATTCAACATCCAGTGTTAAAAAAAAAAAAAAAAAACCACACACAAAAGTGAGACTCATAAAGCAGACGACACGCTGCCAAGCTTTCGCTGTCGGCATGCACAAAAGGTTGAGCTGATCCTCACTACTTTTGAAGTTCATGCTGTAAGAAACCTGTTCCAAACCAAGATCCTGTACAGTGGAAATAACTGCATCCTTGCTGTCATTAATTTCCACCTTAATGAACAAGGATTCACTGGCTCTCTTCAAAGAGTAATAAGACTCCTGCTTTCCAGATGCCTGCATTACTGCGCTCCTCTCAACTGCAGCAGTCTGGAAAATCCCAACCTCTGCAAGCCAGTTGAGGAGCGAGCAGCTATTCAGTAGCTACTAACACACCCTGAACAGAGAAGAATCTGGTTTTCACTTTATGCCAAACATCTCCTGTGCCTAGGAAAGATCTGCTGCACAACTCTGTACAGACACTAAACTGAGTGCTTTCAGAAGTGCAACAAAATATGGTTTATCCTTTTCTTGAGCAGGGGTTCTCTCTTTAGGCTCCTCAACTACTCACAGCACCTCTCATTAATATATGAGCACATAATAATGGAAATATGCATATTTCATTTTGTGAGCCGCTCTCACATAATGGTGCTGCTCTTAGGACTCCAGCAAGGGGATTTATAAAAGTCCAGACACTGCACTGCTGTGCATGAACCATTCATCAGTACTAATTTATCCCCTGTAAGTGCCTTATTTTGTGATATTGTGTCATAGGTCTTTGTCAGTATTTATGAGCCAAGGAGGAACATGGCAATTTTTTCATAAATTGAAGAATAAATTTAAATGTGTGCAATGGTGTGAGCTGCTGTTGGTATTAAATATCAGCTCTACAAGTGCTTGTCTGAGGCAAATCTGGCATTATATCAAAAATCTTGATTTATATGAGGCCTGCTTAGTGTTAACTCGTAACTAGGAAAATGTAAACGAAAGCATCACTGGGTGTAATCAGTGACTTACAGCCACTGTGGGTTAGGCAACCATTTCCTTGTATGCAAGAAAGATGTGACAAAATGTTCAAGTCACTGCTGAGAGGATGTGCAGAGAAAAGGAAGACAAAACACAGCGACAGACAAAGCTACAGGGCAACAGTGAGATTCACAGAAGCTATTTTTTCCTTTTTGCTCTTTGATGTCGTAATAGAAGAATAAACCCCCACAGCTTCAGAAAAATCTACCGGGAAGGGCTGGCAACTGCCACAGTGACATCTGCAAGGGTAAACATGCATGCATCTATGAATGAAGCAGCTATGAATGAAGATGAATAAGCAATGGTCTTTCCCACAGAGGAAGGGCAAGGCGGGCAGAAGCCAGCTCTCCGCAGCACTGCACTATTACCTCTGCAGGTAATTTTCTCTCACGCGACTCCGTGGCAGGCTGGGTCTGGTCACAGGCCAACAGGCAGCAGAGGGGATCTCACAGCCTGGAATGCCACATCCCCCCAACACAAGCTACATCACCTCATTCTGCCCGACAAACCAAGCCAGCCAGGCCGCAGAGCAGCGTGCCCGGTGCTGGCTGCTAACACAGCCCAGCCCCTAACGAGGAGCTCCGCTCAGGGCCGCCCCAGCTCCTCACCTCAGCCTGGGGGCGGGTAGCGAACAGGTGGCCTCTCATCACCCAGAGGGCATTTCCAAGAATCGATCCTGTTCCCAGCGTCCAGTCCTCCCTGTTGGATCACCCCAATCCCCCCCGCCCCGTCCACCCGCTCTCAGCACCGTCACACTCTTCGTTTTCCAGGAACCCGCCCGGCCGAGGGGCGCGGGGCGGTGCGGCCCTCAGGCCTTAAGGCCTGGGGGGGAGGGCACTACAACACCCAGAGGGCATTGCGGCCGGGCCAACCAATCAGCCGTCGCGCCGCGCCTGACGCAGAGCCGCCGCAGCCAATCGGCGGAGGAGGAGGAATGTCAACAAACACCGGCCTCGTGACACCGGGCCGGGACCCCCGGCGCCGGGCGCTGTACTGGGGCCGCGTCCCCCAGGCCGCCCTCCGTCCTATCTGCCCACAAACTGAGGGTTTCCGTTTCACGCTCTGATCCTGCAGGGTTTTTCCTCACAGAAAGCATCGCTAATGCCAGAGAAATAGAACCCTGCTAGGCCACTAGGTTAACAAAATGCTCCGGGGAAAGAAAAGTCATTGGAGCAGTCATGTTTCAGAGCCCTTTAGATAGAGCTGGTTTTGAGGGAAAAATCAGCTGTGGGAAACCACAGTCATCTAAAAATGCCTGCCGCAATTTTTAAACACTTACTGATTGCCACAAGGACAGCAGAAAAACGCTGATGGAAATCCTCAGGAACGGAGGCAATCATATGCTACAAAGTCATGCTCACACTATTTCTATACTGTCTGGGAAAAATGAAACTTTCAGACCAGAGAAAGAAAAACAAGAGGCAGGAGAGCCCAGAGCAACTCCTGCAAGTTTTGTTTCTAACGTTTTAAGAACTTAAGAGCTTCCAGCACATTGCACTTTGCTGCATAAGCATCCTGAGAACCGGAGTCCCCACCCCAACTCCCAGCTGCAGAAGTTCTAGCCTCCAGAGCACAGTCCGTACACAATCTGTCACACTGTCCAAGGAGAACAGAGAAAACAGAGCTTCCACTATCTTGAGAGAAGGCCTTTTCCCCAGAACACATACATTTGATTACAAACATCTGTTGAAAAAAACAAAATGCCAAAAACTCCACTCAACCTCACCCATATCTAGAATGCTTTGCCGTAATTGAATGTACTTACCTGGAAGTCATACAAGGCAACGATGTTCTCATGTTTCAGTTCCTAGAAAAAATTAAACAAAGACAATAAGCTCAGAGCAACAAAGGGCATAGGTAACAAAGACTGAAAAAGGAAAAAGACCTCTGTCGGCCTTTACCTTAAGTATTTTAATTTCCTTGCCCAGCAGAGTCTGTGATTTTGCAAGGTTCTTCTTGTTAATGCATTTCACAGCTACTTCCAGCTCAGGTTTCTGAAAGCAGAAAAGTGCACGTGTAATTCAGAGAGCATTTCCCCATTAGCACAGGCCAGGTGAGCAGCCTCCATCAGGGTGCTGGCAATGCTGGAAGGCGTCCTGCAGCACCAGAAAAGGCCCATGCTCTGTGCCCCAACGCATGTTCAGACTTGCCTCGTCCCAAGCTGTGCCAGCACAAGGAGAAAAGCCCGAGGTTTGGGGTTTTGTTGACGATTATCCCCTTATTTAACCACTAGAAATAAACGCTGTGGGAACCACGGCTTATCCCAAGACCTAACATCGGCAGGCCCGCAGCAAGCTGGCTTTCCCTGCGCTGTCCATCGAGCCGCTTCCCCTCCCGGTGGAGCATGGCGAAAGGCAGAACCGCGCCGAGAAGGAGGCGAGGACAAAGCGGGCCTCGCCGCCACCCGGAGCGCTGCCCCCAGCCCGGCACGAACCAGGCGAGAAAAAAAAAAAAACACGGTAAAAATCGTCCGAAGGGCCCCTCACCTCTTTGTGCCTGCCTTTGAAGACGACGGCGAAGGCTCCGTGTCCGATCAGGTCCTTCCTGCTGAACTCAAACTTCCCCACCGTCTCCATGGCGCTGCGGGCGGCGGAACCGCGGCCGGGACAACTTCGGGGCCGGGAAGCGGCGCTGAGGGCTGCTGGCGGTGATGGAGGAGCTCCCTCGAAAGAAAATTAAATCTCTCCCAATCAAAAGACGGCGGAACGGCCTCCCCCCCCCCTCCTCCTCCCGGTGAGCAGTCAGGAGCTGGAGACTCGCTGGAGGGGGAAAGCCGCTCTCCTGTCAGCCCCTCGGCAGCTCGGCATCTGGCTCCGCTCCCCCGCTTCGCCTCCGTCCATGGGCCGCCTCTGCCAGCGGGGCTGCGCGCTGCTCATCGTTGGCGGCCGGGAGAAGTTGGCTCTTAGCAGCGGGCCTCCCCCATCTCCTCCTCAGGACGGCCGGCGCTGCTCCTCCGGCGGCCGCTTCAGGAGCCTCTCCCCATGCCGAAGCCCGGCCCTGCCCGCCCCGCAGGCGCGGCTTGGCGGCGAGTCCACCTTAAACGCGATCCACCTTAACTCCGAGTCCACCTTAAGGGCCGATCCACCTTAAGGACCGCCTGCGCCCACCGTCCTCTCGTATCCGGCGGCTCGGGGTCACCCCGCCACCCCTCCGGGCCTCCCTACCGCCCGCGATCGGACAAAGCTACGCGGAGTACGGCGCGGACGGGAAAACAGCCGGCACCGACGGTGGCTGCGCAGGCGCGGTGCGCGACAGTGGGGAGGCACGGCACGGCACGGCGGCCAACTGAAGCTCCGGGGGCCACAGACCGACCATTTAAAGGCGCCGTCGCCGCCAGCACTGAGTCACGGGCCCCCCCGCTCGGCGCGGTGCTGCTGGCGCTGCGGGGGGCTTCTTCCAATGCAGCCTGCCCGTTGTCCACAACGCTGAGACCTCCAAAGTCTTTCAGAAATGACCAAACAAATGGCGAATTTCTCAATGTTTAGCCCAAAAAGCACCTGCTGGGCCGCAGGCCTGCCAGCACCCTTGGGTGCTCCTCCTCCCCCTACCCCTGGCCTCACACAGTGGGCTCACTCACCTCTGCTGCTCTCTGTCGTCCTCTGAGAGTGGCAGGACGGCCCTCGGTCCCCGCACCCAGGGCTTCTTTCTATATCCCTTACACACGCCGTGTTCCTGTCTGCATCCTTATCAAAGCGCCCACATGAGAACAAAATATTCCAGCACACATCTCACGACCTGTTGTGCATTTTGCTTTTTGCTCACTGGTGTGCCACTGGTTGGTGCTGGTGGGATGCACCCAGATGCCATCAGCTCTTCCTGTTGTTGTAACGTGGCTGTGCAAACAAACAAGGCTCTCAAACAAGACAAAGCTGACGTGCGGTGCTGAGGGTGCTCCCTATCGTGACACCCAAAAACTGTGGTTGTCACTGCTTGGGGAAGAAGTTGGGAACAGGCAGCGCCTCTACCCCAGGCCTTGCTCTGAAGCAGTGGTTGGAACAGCGTGTGGACTGTGGGCTGCTGCCCCTCGTGCTGCAAAGCTCACGGTGCTTAAAACATTGATGGAAGAACGGCAGTGTGCCCCAGACCCAGATACAGGCATTGCAGTGGTTGATCTGAGGTTATTTGCACCTCCAACTCCAGCAGTATGAGCATGAGTTTAGTGGGATTTGTCCACGTGAGGAGGACAGTTTGTGCATTCGGCAGTGTCTGTTGGGACCTTTGAACCATCACAAGGCTGGGGTTTGTGTGTGATTTCAGTGCTGCCAAGCCTCACAATTAAAAAAAGGTTACCTTTTAAAACTAGTGTGCTTCAGCTGCTTGTGTACTTTCTCACTCCGAGGCCCGCGCTCTCCACAACTTCAGGCTTTTGTCAATGATTGCAAAGAGTTATTTTAAAAGTAAACACAGTAAAATGGAAAGCATCACAGAACTTATGAAATCAAAATCAAGCTAATCAACAAGTGACAGGCACAGGAATTTGCCGGCTGTGTAAGAGCCACTGCTGTTAACACAGAACATAACGCTTGCAAAAATTTAAGGCAGGAAGTGAAGAATGCATGTTGAAACGTTTCAAGTTGGCAAAATCTCATATCCTCCTTCTCTGGGCAGCAGCCATGGCCCCAGGGCCAGATGCTCAGTGCTGCACAGCTGTGCTGGGACCACCGATGCCCTCAGCTGCTGCCTCCATGGTGCCATCACAGCAGACATGCAGCTCCTGCGCACGGCACAGAGGAGGCTGATATGAATGCTGTTCAACCAGAGGCTGAAATGTTGCAGTGGTGAATGTTCTTTGTTGTGTACTGCATGTACTTGTTTGTTCCTGCGTGTGCTGAGGGCTGCAAAAAGAAATGTGTAATCTAAATAGGTTTTATGAAACCTGCATTCTAACGTTGCCTTTGGCACACGTGGCCAGGCAGTAAACTCTCTCCACCGACATTTATTATCATTCTAAGCAAAGTGCTTTTGTTTATAAGCATGCCTGAAGGTTCACTGGGCAGCATTCTGGTGGATAAGTGGGGCTTCAAAGCAGCACAAAAATACTGAAGGTACTCAGAGGTCTCTACAAGGATCAGGACCAGGTGGTGCTGGATGCTGTGTGCACACCTGGTGCCCAGCATGACCTTGGTATTGACCACTTAACTTTTGTAGCACTTAAAGGACACTCCAGCTCGTCTTCCAAAAATAGACTAATGAAAATATTTCAACAAATTTTGCAGAGATTTTAGATTTCCAGTTGGCAAATAATGAGGTACAATGCTACTTGACAGCAAATTCAGTTTGGAGTGCATCCTGCAGACACACGTTATTAGCAAAATGCTTGTTGATGTTGGAACAAAGAGGGCTGAAAGACTTATTAATTCATAGAATTCCTCACAATATTTTTTTTCTGTGGTTTGCTGATTAAATACTTATGCTCTATCAATTCCTTCCTGATGTCCAGAATTGAGTGAGAGTGTATTTAGGCCAGCATCCAACGCATGTAAATTCTGCTTTCCTCTTGTAGTCTCCCATTTGCTAATGGTATGAATGCTATCACTAACAGGTATCCAGCTACTTCCTCAGATGGAGGCAAAACACACAGCACAATTTGCTAATGGATGGCTGAGGTAAGGCCTACTGCTGTGATTTACAATGGGTGGAGAAAAACACAAGCATACACCCAGCTGTGGGAACCCTCACAATATTTTCTCAAAATTCTTTTGCAAGTTGATGCAACTTTATCCTTTTCTGTAATTCACATGTGAAGACAAGCAATGAGGCAGCTGATATCCTGGTGGTTCAAACAATACTCTTTTCCAATAGCGTGTTGTAATCAGCAGGCATAAATATATCTGTTTCTGTCTACAGGAATCCTTACCTCAGGGCTGCAGAGGTACACTGTAGTTATCTCTGCCCCTGGCTCGGTGCTGTGGAATTGGTTAAAGCTACAGGATCACGGGGGCATTATGTGTGAACAAGAAAACCCAGCAAAAAGATTTTGAAGGAAAACAGAAGAGAGACTTTCCTCCAGGCTTAAATTGTTCTCTGTCCAGCCTGTGGGTAAATTAACTGTATGCTCAACAGTGAAAGATGTGGGGGGAATCCTTGGCTGGGTACAATCATACAGAGCAGGTTATTTCTATCAGCACATATCTCTTTTGACATCAAAGTTCGGCAGTACACAGAGGGAATCTCCATGGCACTCCTTTGCAATCTTTCTGGATATGGTTGTTGCCTCACTGAGGCAATAAGGTCTCAGCCAAACATACCAGTGCTTCTGGAAGAAGGGAAATGCCAAACTGTGAGGCTTCAGCACATGAGCAAGATGTGGCTGCACAGGGGCTGAGACTGTTAATTGGCTACACATCTCCTTGTCATGTGAAATGGAAGCTTCAACCATAAGATGAGCTTTAAGATGAGCTGTGGTGCAGCCATAGGTCGACACAGGCAGTGCTGCTCTGGGTAATAAATTTGCCTTGCAAAAATGGCAGCATCACATCTTGAAAATTATTTTATTTCTTGGCAAAGAAAGATGGACAGCCTAGCACGAGAGGAGTGATAAAGTAAGGCTTAGCTTCAGAGCACATCTGGATGAAAAGCAGATGCTATTTTTGAAGATTAAGAATTGAATTAAAATTTTGATGTATTTAAGCAGTAACACACACATACACTTTCCACAAACTTCCTAATAATCAAACCTAACCAGAAGCATCCGGGCAGAGCCAAAACCAGCCTGAATGCTGGCATTTTTGCCAGATCCAGCAGGAAGGAGCAAAAGAACTGAATACGCAGTCCTTGGCCGAGAATCCCTTGGTGGAAGGAAAACACATAGTTCCACTAATATCTACACAGTAAAAGCAAATATTAGCTTAGCATTAATGGAACAGAAGACAAGCTGCAGGCTGTATTTAATGGAAAATAAAAATTACACCTTTTAATCTTACTCATTGCAGATACCTGTATCTAATTTTGATTCCGGCCCAACTATCGGTAAGGGCAAAACTCAGATCTCAATGGCACAGCACCAGGCTAAGTGCATGCTGAATGCAGCCATGTCACAGAGCCTTCATGGAGAGGCTGACTGGCTAAAGTTATTTGGAGCCCTGACAACATCTGTAAGTTTACAGCAGTGCTTTAAGTTATGTTAGCAGTATTTGTTCATGTCTCACATAAGATCTATGGAAACAGCATTCCAGCTCCAGGAAAGCTCTTTTATCTGAGAAAGGGAGTGATGCCCCACTCACAGCAGCAGCAGCTCTTGGTGTTGGAGGCTCTGAACTAAGCAATGGAGTTCAGAACCTGCAACTGACTGCTCACAGCTTTGCAGTTGTGCACACAGCCAGATCAGACCTTTAGATGGCACCTAAACATGGAACAGCACGGCTGGAAGAATTGAAAGTTTGAACTCAAAGCACAGACTGCATTCCAATGGCAGCTGCCCCTCATGACATATGCAGGAGAGGAAGTACTGCTTTCCCTGCACTTCCCTAGCCCTGTCACATTCAGTCTGGATTTATTTACACTGGGGCCCCTTTATTGGTTAATAACACTGAGAGATTTAACCAGCCACTCAATTATCCTGGCAGGCCAGCTCTGTGATATTTTATTACCCCCTCCCCACACGTACACACCAGCTCCCTGAACAGATTTCATGAATTATTGAAGGTGATGTTTTAATGCACTCAGCAAGGTGCTCTGGCAAGGGGCTCCACAGGTTCCCCTGCATTTTAGTATCAGATGCATTTCAGCTGCTGGCAGAGGGCAGTGGGGCTGTACTTAGTGTTCAAACCTGTAAGTGCCCACGTGAAGGACCATTACCTAACCTGTCTGTCAAACAGCTGATTGCATTGAGGTTTGCCAATGAATGAAAGTCTGCAAATCTTCCACTCAGAGGAGTTTGTTTTCAGACTAATGGGAAGCTATTGCTTGCCAAAGTGCACACTGCTTGCCTGTGAGTCAGCAGGTTATCATCACACAGTTCCTTACACGAGGTGGGGTCCAGACAGGGTACAAGCAAGTCCATCACCAGCACCCCCAGCCCCCCACCTGCATCCTTGCCATGCACAGAGCCCCTGAGGTCCATCCTGGAGAAGCTAAGGTTTGTCAGGAGGACAGTATTCAGGTAGGCACTACTCTTTACTCATCCCATGTAGAGACAGTGGAGAAGTTTGCAGACACGTAAATAACAGCCGTTTAGATTGTAGCATTGAGCAATGCACATAGGGATAGGACAAGATATAATGAGGTCAGGCAGCAATGAAGGAGCTCTGTCCCTAACATCTTATTGTGTGGTTGGGTCTGGATGCAAGCAGGCTGCCTGGGCAGCAGAGCACTGCAGTGTGGGAGCGTTTTTGGAGCAGGTTGGGCAAGCATCTGGCAGAAATGACACAAGCAAGGTCAAAGCACAGCCTTGGACAAGCTGGATGTGCAACTCTCAGCTCCCGCCAGCCTCACAGTGGTTCTGAGCAGAGACTGAGAACATCTCTCTAAAAGCAAAATAAGAGCAGTAAGGACTAACTCCTGGCCTTGGATGTTATCATTTCAGCTCCTACACATACAAAGAAAGAGCGGTTGGGAAAAATCAGGCTCTTCCCCTAGACGTGTTATCAATCAGCCTTTTCAACTGACAAGGACAGGGAGCCTCAAAGAAATGTACAACTGAGCACGGGTGCACACTGTAGTAAGTCTTGACACTGCTGAGATCAGCATGCTCACTGCTACATCCCAAAGAAACGATCCTTCATCTCTCCTTCCTAGAAATATGCAAAAAGGGACGATACTCCAGCACAGAAGCCCAAAGCAATGAGGAGAGGAAAACTTTCCAGTGGAACATCAGGAAAGTTCTACTGTTTAGTGCTTCCAGACTTGGTTTATAGTGAGAAAAGAAAAAAAGAAAACAAAAACCAATGACAACCACCAAACTAAACATCCAGGTCTACTGAGATGTCTGATTTTTAATTTTTTTTTTTCCTTGCTCAAATCTGACATTTTTGCTCCATAATTGAACACCTGGACACACAGCTCAGTTGAAGCACCTGGCTGAGGTTGAAGATATCCTGCTGACAAATGAAGGATGAGTTTCTGAAAGGCATTTAGGCTCAAGTTCCCTGGTTCCTGCCTCTTCCTCTCATCTGTGTAAATGACAAGGTCTGTACTGCTTTGATTTTGGTAGCAACTGTAATACAGTAATTGTTATACCCAACTAAAGATGAGAAATACATGCATCTCACCAAGCAGCGCTGGATTTGTTTGCCCTTTACCAGAGGCAATGAGGTGCAGTCACCAATAAAAACATATCTGAACAGAAGTGAGAGCAAAAAGGCTAATCATGATTTAGGAATTCTCTGCCCTTAGACAGTGCTCCCCTTGGGTAGGTACGAGCCG